CCAAAGAATTTTCAATACCATTTCTATTTGTTAGCAAAAACACCACTGCGACTCGTAAGTGATGTTCACTAGAAATCAGTACTTACCTCAAAAGTCATATCATCGGGGACAAAACGCAAATCCAAACGTACGGCACTACTTTCGAATTCCGCCCCATCACATGCATCGTAGATTGCGGATGCGGTTTCCACTTCATCACACTCGATAATCGCGTAATAATATTTCATTCGCTCCAGCTGATAGGTTCTCAGAGCTTCACGGGTTTCTCTGTAGCACATGTTACATGTGAATGAAAAGATGAACATCAGTTAAGAAACAAAATGCAGTAATTCCGCTTTTGTTGATTAAAAAAGCACACAAATTTTGCGGTGAACGGATGAAGTGAGGGAAAGAGGAAGCTCTGGCCTATGTAGTAACGGAATCGCAAATATAACTTCCAAAAGCACAATGCCGATGATTTCTCCTTCTAAGACTGGCTATTTTGAGTCAACCTCAAATACCTATCTAATATTTTGGCAGTCAAAACAAATTAATGTACGAGCAACTGCAATTCCTGCTTTGCAGGCTCCCCTAATTCTTATACGCTTTACATGAGAAAAGAAAGAAGAGCTGAGGGAATGGATGAAGACTCACTCGTCCATTTCCTCAGTTTCCTCAACTGGTTTCTTCAGTTTTGTCAATTTTGGCCCAGCACGTTCCTCTTCCTTCAGTCTTTCCTTGCCGAAATCTGAGACATAAATCGTCACCGACCGGACAGCTGCAACAGTTTGAAATTTGTGCCCTTTTTTCACTGTCATTATCAACACAGTACTCTGTGCTACAAAATTACCAATTCATAAGTTTCAGCCAGTGCTACAAAGATAATTCTCCGAGCTACTGTTATCTCCGGAACATTGCAGGCAATGGGTGGGGAACAGCGATGCCAAAGTAACTCCTATTCAGCTTCTGCACCGTAATGATGTGGAGCACTGTCTCACAGATGGGAACCCTCTTTCCCGTATGGGAACCCCCCTAGCCCTACAACTCCAATTCTCCTTCCATGGATGCGGCTACCCCTCCAGCATTCTGCTTGGATAATCCCGCCGCCACCTAAAAAACTGAACAACGAATCTGCCCCGCCTCTCCCCCTCTCCTTTAAAGAGAACAGCCAATAAGCGGGCAGTATGTTACAGCCCCGCCCGCTGTCGTCGAACTGGAATCCCAGGGCTTCGAGCGATTACTGACCCTACACAAAGGAGCCAGACGGCGGCCTCCTCTTCGAAAGATGCAGATTATTCCACTGTGTTGTCCGGCAGCAAGGCCCTAGCTTTTTTTTTTCTTTTGTTTTCTTCCCCCCACCCTCTCCTTTGCCTCTCTCCCTTTAGCTTCCATCCCCCACCCCCGCGCTCAACCTCTTCCTTTGTTCCCGCCCCCTTTCCGCTTATACCCTCATCCCCACGCCTGCCCCCACCCTTCCGCTCCCTGTGAACGTGGCCAGAGGTTCTTCCTGCTGATGAAGATTAGGAGTGGGGAGATTTGTTGTGTTAAGCGAGTGAGGTTTGTTGTGTTAAGCGAGTAATGCATGGTTATGAACTGTCAGAAGCGGCCCTATTTATGTATATCTCTGTTTGTGTCCTCATGCACTTACAGTTTTAATAACCCAAATTTGAGGATTCCAATATTTGCGTGTGCGTCAAGACCTGTGCCGCGGGAAAACCAGAGTCAGTTGCGCCAAACTGAGTGAGTGTCGAAAATTACCGGGCACCCAACAGCCAGCACCTACTATGCCAAATCAACAAAAATTATCAGCTTTACCGGGCGCCCCCTATGAGTGGCCCAGTCTTCCACTGTACTGATTCATTCGTGCACTGTCGGCTCGAAGGCCCAGAAGTTTTTACTGCACTTACCAGCTGGAGCGGGCGGTTTGAATGAACTGATTAAAACAAAAATATCGGACGCTGAAATCCGATCCCATTCCATGTTACACAGTGCCAAACGCTGCGATTTCCATTCCACGCGACGAGCGTCTTTGTCTGTCTCACCCCAATCGTGCACCTCTTCAACCACCTATACACTGCCTCACATTAGCACTGCCTCACGACACTCACTGCTAAGGTATTACAAGCATGACAGTTGTAAGAACCGGAAGAGAAAAGAAGAAATGTAAGGAGAAGACAGCTGCGAACTAACAAAATTCGAGAAGCCATCAATGCTAGTGTACCACGGGCCAATACATGTTGCATAAAAAATGTCGCAAAACAAAAGCAAATGAAAAAGCCGAAATGCTAATTTGTTACTGACATATTATGTTCATATGCACTAATAAATTTGAAGAAATGGCCAAAATGCCAAAAAACTAATAGCACAGGAGACCATATCTGTTTTATCATATCATAATTAAAAGGTCAAGATATCTGGTTTGTCTTGAAACTGCATACGTCCCACTTCAACCGAAAAACCGATTAAGCTTTTCAATGCAGCCCGTTAACTTAGTGCACAATTGATCAGGCTACACAGAACAGTGTTAGAAAATACAGGACCCAGGCTCTTGGCACCGTTCAGCTGAGCTGCGAAACTATCACGAGTATTCTTGCGAAACCAATCGCGGTGCAATCTTGAAATTCTTCCCCCGCGCGCGCCTATACTGCTCAAGCGGTATATGTCCAATCAATTGTAGAGGAACCTACTTCCTCCAATTCCCACTCGGAATCGGAATCCTCATCGCTGGACGTGATATTACCGTTGCCACGAGCCAGGTCGATTGTGATCCGCTCGCT